AGAGCAGGGGCGGCAGCCGCGGCAGGGAACCCAAGTAACTTACTATAAATGTAACATGTTCTTAAAGTTTTTTTAAATAATAGAGCTTGACATTATGAATTGCGTGTGTTCAGGTCCTGGATACGGTAGAAACTATGGCAGCGCTGAAGTGAGATATGGAGGAAGTTCATATCCTGATCCTAATGGCCTGCAGCAGGTGTGTGCTCACTATTATTTTTCCTTTTTAATTTTTTGAGCTTTGGTGTGCCATTTCTGACACATGCATTTGAAAATAGGATCAATAAAAATATATTAGTTTGAAATATATCGATGCATGTCAGTTGGTGCCTGCATACGTTTGCTGAATCCTTATTGTTGTGAAACACAATGAAAACACGTGAATGATAACATAGAGTTGCATAGGTTATCAAGTTACAGAATTCGCCAAAAAAAATTTGAACTCTTCATCGCTTCCTATCAAACAACAAATCATAGCTCAAGAGGCAGGGAGTGGGGACATAGAGATCTCAAGTTCAAACCTTGGTGCTCTTCAGAAACATGACTAGTAACTTATAGTTGAAAAGAAATTTCAAATGGTGTCACTTGTGCACGATGTAGTCATGGAAATGCATTGCCGCTCAGTACCATCTACTTAACCTAAGCAAATGCCAAGTGATCTATGTAGAGACTATAATGGTAGATACATCTGAACTGTATTTGTTTAATGCTTATGTTAAAATTTTACTTATGAGCTTCATCTTTCAAGACATTTTGATTTGATATGAATCAAAACTAATACCGTATGTATTGCACTTGAGCTCATTACTGGTGAACCTCAAAATTTGAGAGAGATACTCCTCTATGCATAAAAACATACAAGTCAATTTCATAATGAGCACTTCGCAATGGAAACAGAGCTCGCACTGAAGTGTCTGCTTGTGTTTGAATTGCATGCTTGAAACTCATACAATGTGATTTCTGACCTCCCAAGAAAAGACGGGCACTCGAATAACTTCTAAGATGCTTTAACATTTCAGGTTCGGATTGGTGGTGTGATTCTGCTCCTACATTTTCATCTGGAGCAATGTCTAATGGCCACCATGACACTGCACATAGATGAGTTTCTTTCACCATAACAGCCAAAATCATGATATTGTTTCACTGTGGGAACGTTACAAATTCTATAGGAAATTTTTTGCTTTCACGGCTACAGATGTTGTGCCTTCCAAAAATTTGCCTTGTTTTATAGCTTTTTTAGCCGGATCCCTTCTTGGTATTTTTTTCTATCTGGGGAATGCTTCGTCATGCCATGAATGATAGGTTAATAGGGTCGCTTTACCTGGCCACTGGAAACTGTTTTAATTTTCTTTTTTTAATCAGCTTGTTCCCTCATCAGCATTTTACATGTAAATGTTGTGAACCACTTTGTAAACAGGTGAAGAAAAGTAGCTCTGTAAAGCGATACATGTACAGAAACTATTTGGACAAGCATTGTAGCTCTTTTCTGTATCAACGAAGAAAAAACGGGAACAAGGAATCATAGCTGATTCATTTCCCTTGTTTATTTTCTTGAACTTGCTTGAAAGTTGTAGCTGACGATGGGCTGTCAATAGTGAAGTGATTCTTAATTTTGAGTTAACAGCGTGCCGTTTTCCTCCCTTGTTCTTCGAAGTACCTGTTACGAAGGCAATGGCCAGTGGCCCAAGCTGGATATACGCCCCCGAATTTAAAGAGAGTAAATAAATACGAAGACTAGAAATGAACTATGGTGCTGTGAATAATTTTTTTTATTGTATTGTTTGAATTAAAATGACTAGAAAGCACACAAACTTGTCATAATATTTTAATGGCCAACTTAAAAATTAAAATAACACTACAAGTAATTTCTAAAATGTCTTGTTAATTTGTCTCTCAAAAAAATGTCTTTAGTAGTTTAATATAATTTTAAAACTTGTATTTATTTCAATTTAAATACAAAAAGTTAACCTATCTATATATTTCATATCATGACTTAAAACAAGAAAAACTAAACATTACCATCAATAAAAAATATTTATAATTATATATCTTGTTATGATAGAAATGAATACTAATTTGCTTTAAAAAAGAAATAACATTTGTATTCGTAGATAATTTGAAAACATTGAATGATAACACTTAAATATTGTAATAGATATCAAGCTCTTGTGACACTTATGTAACTTAAAAAACAATTTAAAATTAGTTCTTTTCCAAAAAAATTCTTCAATCTTTTTTATTTTAAAAAATCCCTTTGTATTATAGCTGAATTTTTTAAATTTATTTCAATATATATTCCATGATTTTATCACTATCTCATATCTTATATGGTTAATTATGATTGATCCTAGTTAATATAATAATTGAATTTTTAATTTTTTTTAAAAGATATTTCATCTGACATGTAACAAATAAATATTTTAAAAGTATTTCCATCCATATGTATTAAACTTTTTACTTCCTAATATTTTTACAATTTTTTAATATTAAAAAAAAATCCATCTTGCTTCATATCACGAAAAAAAAAGAGGTAAAACATAATACACGTGGAATCACTTTTTAATTTCTGAAGTTAAACAATAAAAACAAAAGCTTTTCAAAGAATAAACCCTATGTATGTTTTACAAGGAGAATCACATTTCACTTCATAAAATTAAACAGTAAAAATAAGAAAGCAAGCAAGCTCTTAATAACTAAAAATACTAAGTGTAATGTGTACTAAAACCATGTCAGAAAGTAATTAATTCATCCTTTCAGATGATTTATTTGGTCCGTCTATGGAAGTAGGAGCGATAAAATTTGTGCGGCTATGTTGTCGTTTCCTTTTGATATATCCAGTAGTTTTAGACGTCGGTTGTTTGATAGAAATCAAATGCCTCTAGAAAGTGAATTCCAAAATTATTGTTTGTTGCAAGAATAGATTACTTTTCATTTGTATCATGAAAAATAAATTAAAACCAAAATCTATTTGCTAATGTTTTATTCATGTTACAGAGAATAAATCGAAAATAAATTTTCGGGCTATGAACTTTCATAACATGGAAAAAAATTTAAATATTACTTTCAAGTATTTTTCTCATTTTTTAAATAAACTACTTTTTTTATCCAATTTTTCTAAGAAAACTTGTATGATTTAATATATTATTATTTATTTTATTTTATTTTATTTAGAAATAATCATAAAAAAGTTGTATTCACTAATCTACAACATATACAGAAATAATATCGTGTGAATAATAATTCACTAAGTAAGTTCCTAGAAAAGATTGAAAGGGTCACAAACAGTCCCGTTTAAAACTCAATCTCCTTAGATAGAATTTCCTAAACTGTATTTAATCACTACACTGACTTTCTATATACGTTAACAGTAACATATGTGAATAGTACTGTATACATGAATAGTACTGTAGATGTGAATAGCAACTGTATATACGAATAAATTTTGTGTGTTAATAGCACGAATCAGGAGGCTCTGATACCACTATTAGGATACTAGCATGCAAACCCGACAAGATAAAAGGCAAATGATAGGATAAAATGTAAATAAGACAGACAAGAATTTACGTGGTTCACCCAATTTGGTTATGTCCACGAGCAAATATAGAAGGATTTTACCAAGTAATATGGAAATTACAACATGTCTCTACTAATAGAAGAACAACTAAAATCTCTCTATTATTAGGAGAAAACACCTCACTTACTCTCCTCACATATACCTCATAATTTTATAGAATTACTTTTCCTCTCTCAGTCTCCTCTTCTTCTCTCTTGTTTCTCCCTTATGATATGCATTTAAAGTTTGGATGCATTAACTATTTATTGATAAGAATGGGGAGACAAATATCATAAATCATGATATCAATTATGCCAACAACTTATCTTTGCTCATATTCCATTAATTATATTAATAACTTATCTTCTATTTATTTTTATCTAACAATTTATCTTCCATCAACTATGTGAATTTAATTAACTGGCTTTGCAAACAAACGTGTGGCATATAGAATATATAATATTCGCTTCCAAAATTAACATAAAACTAAGAGATCAAAGCTGCGTGCGCGTGCGTGTGTGTGTAACACAACACAAGCTATCATTGAAGTACGCATTTCATAAGTCTTAAATTGTAAAAAGATTAAAAACAAGAGAATAGAAACATACCAGAACCTGAAGCTGCAGACTTCCACGTCACGGTCCTTGAACCTCTTTATCTCTTCAATAATCTGAGCATTTTCGAAGAACTCACCTGTTTTCGTATCTGCAATGTCATTCTTTTCAAAACATGCTAGGGACTTTTCACACGACTATACAAGCGAAAAACAATCAAAGTGAAGGCTCGGGTTAATACGAAAGTTAATCTAGACAATATTATTATATCAGAAAATACATAAATTATTCACTCAGCAATAAGGAAACTTAACCTGTATAGCAATAGCATAGAAGCCGTTATCAAGTCAATGGCGATCAAAATTTAGCCATTCCAGATACGAAATTTGTTGCGATTTTTCACCGGTAGACTAAACATCACGCAAAAGCAATGCCTCTTGTTTCAGCGACAAACAACTCTGCACACATAATTCATGTAGAGACTGCTAACAATTTTAATTAATTGACGGACAAAATTTGACAAGGAGTTTGTGGCTGCCTCAATATCGCCTGTGAGAGCGAAAGCGCCAACACATAATTGGAGAGTGAAAAGCTTTTGTTTGACAATTTTATCTTGATTTGGTGGATGATGTAGAAAGATTCGGATCTCACGGACTGTTTCACATCCGATCGTGTTTCGATCAGCGATTTCAAGTCTCTAAAGACCATAACTGATTCGAGAATTCGCAGCGTTTCGTCTTTGAATCTGCAAAAGAAAGAAGAGATTGAGTGAGCTTTTTTGAAATGAGGGATGACGATTGAAGGGTTGTGAGGGTGAAAATTGGAACCTTCAATTTGTGATTTGACAGCGGAAGAGGGAACTCTGGTGAGGAGTTTGTGTGAGTCATGACAGCCAAGGGCGGGGAGGTTGTGACTCTGGGCTTGGGTTTTTGTTTAAAGATTATTTGTAGGTTTGGATATGTTCAAATGTGAATTCCTGCAACTTTTTTTTTTCTTACCTTTTTTTTAATGGTGTTAACTGTTAACGATAACTGAAAAATAATCTTTTATAATTCTAATGAATTTTAAATGAAAAAAAATGAATTAGACTTAATTAGATTTGTAAATGAGTTAATGAACAAATTTACCGATGATTTCTTAATAATTCCTTCTAAATTAGCTAAAATGTGTTTGTTAAAGTGATGAAAGTTATTTTTACAAAAGTATTTTTTATTTTATTTTTTATGTTAATATTTTAAAATTATTAAAAAAATCTAAAAAATATTAATTTAATATTTTTAAAATAAAAAAATAAGTTAAAAAACAATTTAAAAAATATATAGCAATCACATCCAATAAATTTTTTAAATTTAAACCGTTATACAAAGTTTAAAAATAATATATTAATTTTTTTAACTTTAAAAATTTTTGTGCACATCCTCAATGAAAAAACGAGCGGATTGTAAAGACTATGGACACCACTTATCTCCATATTGGTATGATATTGTCCACTTTAGACCTAAACCTTCATAGATTTGCTCTTGAACTATACCCAAAAGATCTCATACCAATGAAAATATTTGTTCATCTTTATATACCTATGATCCTCTCCATTTCTAACCAATGTGGGACTTTAATCGCATACCCAACAATCCTCTCCTCGAACAAAGGACCACCGAGCCTCTCCTCAAACGATCATTTATCCATCCACTCTCTACCAACCACGATTTTTTATTCTTTACTTCTCTCTACTTCATCGTGTTAGGGTCAGGACAAGTTCATGAAGCATCCGGAGAGCATTACCTGACTTGAGAGTTTTTGCTCTTTCTAGGTCAACTCCTCTTTACCGTGTTGGGATCAGGACATATCCATGAAGCATCCGGAACACACTATCTATCCAATATAGCTAATTCATAGATTACATCGTGATCTAATTAGGGCTCATCACCTTTTATTCAGCATTTCGAGGATTCATCCATCATGGCTAACTCTGAAGCATGGCTCTGATACCATTTGTAAAGACTATGGACACCAACTATCTCCACATTAATATGATATTGTCTATTTTAGACCTAAATTCTTATGGATAGTTATACTTAAAAAATCTCATACTAATAAATATCCCTCTTTATTTTTAATCAATATAAAACTTTGATCGTATACTCAAAACTTGTATGTACTTAAAAAATGCAATAATTCTCTTAAATCTATTATTATACGGGTTTGAGCGAGGCTCCCTCGCCCCGACTTGGCTGGAAATTTCCTACTGGTGGCAACCAACAGCCCCTTCGCGCTCGGCCCTTACACCGTTCATGTCGCTCTTCAACTCCATCTCACACTCCCAACAAGACAAAAAAAAAAGAAGAAGAAAAACTCCCATCGCATAGGATCAAAGAGAAAAAATGGCAGGACGCAACCATCTCCAACTCCGCGAAATCCCTTTATCCCGAGTCGCCCCCCTTTCTCGCTCAACCACCGACCCACGCCACCTTCACACCCGACCTCACCGCCACCTCCTCGAAGACCGAATATCAACCCAACACCGTGAGATCCAATCCCTTCTTTTAGACAAACATCGACACGCTGCCACACACGTCGCATTAAAACAAGAAGTCTCTCTGTCACAGCAAGACCTTCGTCACTTATCAACACTTGCTGCTGATGTCAAAGCCGAGAGAGATAATCAAATTCGTGAAGTCTATCAAAGATAGTTGAATTGATGCTATGAGTGCTGAACTTGTTCAGGTAAGAACGGATGTACAGAAAATTACTTTGCAACGGCAGGATATGACTGCACAATTGAAGGACATGAATAGTGAAATTGTTAAGGCTAAAAGGGAAACGCAGCAGGTGGGTGTTATTAAAGAGGAGATTGAAATTGTACAGCAGGAGATTCAAGGAGGTAGGTAAGACAAAAAAAAAGGGGGGCGGGGGGGGGGGGGCATATTTGAGGGATTAATTTGATTGATTGATGGATTAGAATTTAAAAAAAAATAAAATAAAAATGTGATGTTAATTGTCGTGTGATTAGGTCTGCTATTGAATATGAGAAGAAAACATGGGCATTTAATCTTGAGCAAGAAAAGGTGTTGGATAAAAATAGGATTCTTTTGGTTCGAGAAATTGAGAAACTTCGCACTGAGTTGGCCAATGCAGAGAAAAGAGCAAGGGCGGCAGCCGCGTCAGGGAACCCAAGTAACTTACTATAAATGTAACATGTTCTTCAAGTTTTTTTTAAATAATAGAGCTTGACATTATTGATTGCGTGTGTTCAGGTCCTGGATACGGTAGAAACTATGGCAGCGCTGAAGTGAGATATGGAGGAAGTTCATATCCTGATCCTAATGGCCTGCATCATGTGTGTGCTCACTATTATTTTTCCTTTTTAATTTTTTGAGCTTTGGTGTGCCATTTCTGACACATGCATTTGAAAATAGGATCAATAAAAATATATTAGTTTGAAATATATCGATGCATGTCAGTTGGTGCCTGCATACGTTTGCTGAATCCTTATTGTTGTGAAACGCAATGAAAACTCGTGAATGATAACATAGAGTTGCATAGGTTATCAAGTTAGAAAATTCGCCAAAAAAAAATTTGAACTCTTCATCGCTTCCTATTAAACAAAAAATCATAGCTCAAGAGGCAGGGAGTGGGGACATAGAGATCCCAAGTTCAAAACTTGGCGCTCTTCAGAAATATGACTAGTAACTTATAGTTGAAAAGAAATTTCAAATGGTGTCACTTGTGCACGATGTAGTCATGGAAATGCATTGCCGCTCAGTACCATCTACTTAACCTAAGCAAATGCCAAGTGATCTATGTAGAGACTATAATGGTAGATACATCTGAACTGTATTTGTTTAATGCTTATGTTAAAATTTTACTTATGAGCTTCATCTTTCAAGACATTTTGATTTGATATGAATCAAAACTAATACCGTATGTATTGCACTTGAGCTCATTACTGGTGAACCTCAAAATTTGAGAGAGATACTCCTCTATGCATAAAAACATACAAGTCAATTTCATAATGAGCACTTCGCAATGGAAACAGAGCTCGCACTGAAGTGTCTGCTTGTGTTTGAATTGCATGCTTGAAACTCATACAATGTGATTTCTGACCTCCCAAGAAAAGACGGGCACTCGAATAACTTCTAAGATGCTTTAACATTTCAGGTTCGGATTGGTGGTGTGATTCTGCTCCTACATTTTCATCTGGAGCAATGTCTAATGGCCACCATGACACTGCACATAGATGAGTTTCTTTCACCATAACAGCCAAAATCATGATATTGTTTCACTGTGGGAACGTTACAAATTCTATAGGAAATTTTTTGCTTTCACGGCTACAGATGTTGTGCCTTCCAAAAATTTGCCTTGTTTTATAGCTTTTTTAGCCGGATCCCTTCTTGGTATTTTTTTCTATCTGGGGAATGCTTCGTCATGCCATGAATGATAGGTTAATAGGGTCGCTTTACCTGGCCACTGGAAACTGTTTTAATTTTCTTTTTTTAATCAGCTTGTTCCCTCATCAGCATTTTACATGTAAATGTTGTGAACCACTTTGTAAACAGGTGAAGAAAAGTAGCTCTGTAAAGCGATACATGTACAGAAACTATTTGGACAAGCATTGTAGCTCTTTTCTGTATCAACGAAGAAAAAACGGGAACAAGGAATCATAGCTGATTCATTTCCCTTGTTTATTTTCTTGAACTTGCTTGAAAGTTGTAGCTGACGATGGGCTGTCAATAGTGAAGTGATTCTTAATTTTGAGTTAACAGCGTGCCGTTTTCCTCCCTTGTTCTTCGAAGTACCTGTTACGAAGGCAATGGCCAGTGGCCCAAGCTGGATATACGCCCCCGAATTTAAAGAGAGTAAATAAATACGAAGACTAGAAATGAACTATGGTGCTGTGAATAATTTTTTTTATTGTATTGTTTGAATTAAAATGACTAGAAAGCACACAAACTTGTCATAATATTTTAATGGCCAACTTAAAAAAAAAAAAAACAACACAAGTAATTTCTAAAATGTCTTGTTAATTTGTCTCTCAAAAAAATGTCTTTAGTAGTTTAATATAATTTCCACCATGTTTAATTTGTCTCTCAAAAAAATGTCTTTAGTAGTTTAATATAATTTTAAAACTTGTATTTATTTCAATTTAAATACAAAAAGTTAACCTATCTATATATTTCATATCATGACTTAAAACAAGAAAAACTAAACATTACCATCAATAAAAAATATTTATAATTATATATCTTGTTATGATAGAAATGAATACTAATTTGCTTTAAATAAGAAATACCATTTGTATTCGTGGATAATTTGAAAACATTGAATGATAATACTTAAATATTGTAATAGATATCAGGCTCCTGTGACACTTATGTAACTTAAAAAACAATTAAAATTAGTTCTTCTCCAAAAAAAATTCTTCAATCTGGATTTTGTATTATAGCTCAATATTTTTAATTTATTTTGATATATATTTCATAATTTTATCACTATCCCATGTCTCATATGGTTAACTATGATTGATCCTAGTTAATATAATGTATCAAATTTAAAAAAAAATAAAAAATATTTTATCTGACATGTCAGAAGTAAATATTTTAAAAGTATTTCCATCCATATGTATTAAACTTTTTACTTCCTAATATTTTTACAATTTTTTAATATTAAAAAAAAATCCATCTTGCTTCATATCACGAAAAAAAAAGAGGTAAAACATAATACACGTGGAATCACAATAAAAACAAAAGCTTTTCAAAAAATAAAACCTATGTATGTTTTACAAGGAGAATCACATTTCACTTCATAAAATTAAACAGTAAAAATAAGAAAGCAAGCAAGCTCTTAATAACTAAAAATACTAAGTGTAATGTGTACTAAAACCATGTCAGAAAGTAATTAATTCATCCTTTCATATTTGGTCCGTCTATGGAAGTAGGAGCAATAAAATTTGTGCGGCTATGTTGTCGTTTCCTTTTGATATATCCTGTAGTTTAAGACGTCGGTTGTTTGATAGAAAACAAATGCCTCTAGAAAGTGAATTCCAAAATTATTGTTTGTTGCAAGAATAGATTACTTTTCATTTGTATCATGAAAAATAAATTAAAACCAAAATCTATTTGCTAATGTTTTATTCATGTTACAGAGAATAAATCGAAAATAAATTTTCGGGCTATGAACTTTCATAACATGGAAAAAAATTTAAATATTACTTTCAAGTATTTTTCTCATTTTTTAAATAAACTACTTTTTTTATCCAATTTTTCTAAGAAAACTTGTATGATTTAATATATTATTATTTATTTTATTTTATTCAATTTAGAAATAATCATAAAAAAGTTGTATTGTTAACTAAAAAAATCTTTATATTTGATTTATTATAAAAATTAAATTTATGAAACTAACTAAATATAAAAAAATAATCAGTACTCAAAAAATTATATTGTTTATGTTTCTTATTCTTATGAAAAATAGTGAAAAACTTGTATTGAAAATTTATTAAACTCTAAAATACGCTTTTAGAACTCAAATTAATTTTCTGCTTTTATAGATGAAAAGATATTTCATTTTAAATTAAAACAACATATACACTAATTTATTAAATTACTTTAATTATTACATGGGGAAATATATATTGATACATCCTTCTGTACATATTAGCAATCTCTTATTTACTAATAATATTTTATATTTTAAAATGTTTTATCAGTACATCAATGCGCGTGCGTGTTCTACTTTAGTTTTATTTTATTTTCAAAATGCAACCAAAGAGAAAAGTCACAACAGTACCTTTTAGAAAAACACTTGTTGGCATATATAAGAGTACTGAAACCAGCAAATAGCAGATCAAGTATATTGGCAATGGTCGTTAGATTTGACGTATCGTTTTGAACCTCACAAGCCATTAAACTACGATTTGCAAATTCATTTCACAGAAGCAACAAATCAACCCGCCCAGGATCATAAAACAGGAAATGGAACGTTAATTTACATAAATAACAAGTCAAATTGCCAGTCAAAATGAATGAACCCTAGACCAATTGATCGACTTCCAATTAAAAAAAATGTCAAATACCGCCGACCAACCCCCTAAACCTTTACTTTCTAAACCCCCGAAATGGCAGAAGACTAGTGTCAGGAACAGCAAAGATATCAGGTCGTTGGAGGTCGCATGAGAACAATAAAGAAGCAGTCAGTCATTTTGTCTCTGACAAACCGTGACAATCGTCGCAATAAATGGCACCAGCAGCACCACACCAAAAATAAAAAAAAGGTGTTTCTCTGCAGAATTTGAGCAGCTTCCATGTTACTGCTGGTTAACAGCTTGGATGCCGAGAAACTAGAGATGTTGATGGCATATGGACAGTAGAGCACCGGTGGACCCAAGAGACCCCAGCCATCATTCGATGATCGCTGGTGTTATGGCAACATGATCAGAAGTGCATCTAACCAAGCAATCCTAATGCATTTTATAGCAATTACTATAACCAACTAAAAAAAAAAATCATAGATTATAGACCTTTCAGATCATGAAATCAACATGTACATGGTTTGTGTCAGGTAAAATTGGTGATAATATAGACGGCTATTAGACATCCCTATGAAATACTCACAAACATCATATGGAAAAAAACAAGGCAGATCCCAAACAGTAATGCAGGTAATTTCAACACATACACGAGCATATTCTTTAATGCAGACAAAGATTTGGGTGATAAAATAGGGAAAATATCTCATAAAAATATAGGTTCACTCTCCAGATAACAAAAACACATAAATACAAACGGGATTCTTCTTCATTGACCGACTGCCCTGCCCAGAACTAGAACATTGCCTAAATTCCATTTGTATGTAAAATATAAACTACCAACATTAAACTGCAGCACAAAAATAAAATAAAAAAAACTTACAAAACAGATTGTTGTGGAATTTCTATCTCCCAATCAGTATAACAAACCAAAGCTAGAAAGGGCCGGTCAACTTTTTTTAAACTTCATTTGACATATCACCTAGGATAGGAATGCATACACCAAATACAAGTTCCCATGCCTCATTCAAAAGGTATTTCTACAATGCAGCACATTGCGCATCCTAAAACATGGATAAAGCGTGATTTTGTAAGAGGCTCAACTCACCTGAAAATATCAACCTACCTTAGCAGCAAGCAATTTGGAGTTTATCCACTTGCCTCTATAAAAACATCCACACAATTAAATCAATCCCATGCCTAAAGCAGAAACCCCTCCAGGTAGCAACAGATGAACAAGGAAGGGAGAAAGGGGGTACTGCTCGGTGCAAGTGAACAACCTACCTCTTAGTCTCCAGTTCAAGAACAACCCCAGGTAATGGAATATAATTAAAACCCTCAGATCATAGTTCTTAGTACATAAACAGCTCAGAGATGAAACTCAGTAAGGACGTGATCGGTTTCCACCATGTTGATGCCTGTCTGGGCCAGAATTTCCAGCATCTCGGTAGTTATCCCTACGTCGATCTCCACCACCATAGCCACCTCTACCACCGCTGTTGCACAGTCAATCAGTAAAAACAGTAAAAAAAAAAAATGCAGCCTCTGCACAACCACCACTACATCTAGATTGCATTTAATGAAATAGGATGTCAAAATTAAACATTGGTTTTCCACAAAAGTACTTCCAGTACAGCGGGGAAGAACTCTTTAAAAGCCAAAGTAGATAAAAATTCTATAAAAGAAAAGGCTAATAAAACAACTTCGAAAGAAACAGGCTTTCAAACTCTCAACCTATTTGAGAATAAACTCCTGACTAGTATGACATGTTTTGCACGCCAGAAATCATAATAAAAGCAGTGACTATTTGATTTCAAATTTAATCCTATTTCTGCCAACTAAGGGAAGCGCCAAAGAAGTCAATACAAAAATACATTATGCATCTAAATAAAGCACTAAGATTATTTGGTCATCCATCTTCGTTGCATGGTAACCAATCACGCCCAAGGGTTATTAAAACCCAAAACACAAGTTTAAAAATGTGATGAAGATAGAAGCAAGTCAATCCAACTCCTCAATTATATTTGATACAGTAAACAACACTTCAAGCTCATATTGCTTGTTCTTCAGATTTAAAAGTATCAGAGACTAGTCTCCCTCCCATCACCCAAGGTCAACTTTTGAAAATTTCCAACATCAAAGTTTCAAAGTGTTATAGCTGAGATCACAGAAATGAAACTGTAAAAGATAATAGGGAAGTAACCACTGAACTGATTTCCAACATCAAAGTTTCAAAGAGTTATAGCTGAGATCACAGAAATGAAACTGTAAAAGATAATAGGGAAGTAACCACTGAACTGGTTACATATAACTTTTGAAGGTCAAGTGCCAGTCTCACTCCCATTATTTCAGCTTTTTAAAGTTTCATGCTCCCATTCAAAAAGCTGAATAAGGGATCGTCACTGAGATTCAACCAGGGAAAGAAAGGAGCAAACTTCTAAAAGTAAGCAAATATGTCACAGAAAATAGTTATATAAGCTGCCACCAAGGCCCATTAAAATAGGACAGCTTGGTAGATTGCACCTAGATTGCTATTGCTAATTTTAGTTAAGGGTTAAGCAAGCACAATATAAACGGGAAACTCCAACAAGGCAATAAACCTCCCTATCCATAAGTGTTAAGCAAATTGAACATTAGCTGACCCTGGGAATGAAAGAAACCCCATAATAATTAAAAATGCACATGAAAAAAAAAAATAACACCACACACAATCAGGAATAAAGTACCCAAACAGGAACACACTTCAGAACCTCCAAAACACAGCTGAAATAAACTTTTGCTAGTCAAAAGAAAGGAGGGCATCATTAGTGGAAATACCCGTGGTCATATGCAGGTTGCCTCGGGGCTGACTTCTCTGCCATTGCAACATTGATTTTATAGCCCCTCATGTCATAATCTGGAAAACCAAGACAGTTATGAAGTAAAAATAACAGGTGCTTAACTTATTTAAGAAAAAAAGTACTGGATAGGAAATGGAGAAACAGTAGCATGGTCAATACTGTTGTAAAATCCGCCAGCAGAGTGAGCAGCAGATGGGTCTTCATAAGCCAAACATGCATCACCTTTGTTGTTTCCCTTCTCATCTGTGTATATTTTTATATTCCAGGGCCATTGATCTTTATAACCCCGCTTCTGCTTAATCCTTCCAACCTAAAAAGACACAGTTTTCACATTATTTCAGTGCATCTCCAAAATTTGTCCTTGAAAATTGTATCAAGGGAATGAGCTTCAAGGATTCCTCATAGGTAAAAGGGATGGAAATTTATGTAGTGAAGTTTGGTACATGCTATGACCATAGCACATGAATATTAGGAGCTAAATTCCCCTCACAAAAAAGAAGCCACTACATAAGCAACGCTAAATTGAAATTCTTTCCCACAAACAAGGGCATTGATAAAAAAAATTCATGCATTTGTGAAATAAAAAACAGAAAACACTCTTTGAAAGATAAAACTCCCATAAATTCATACTGTAATTTGATAAAGAACGAACATTAACTAACCAAATCACAAAATTTGTTAATGCAATTTACAGTAATAACAAGCAATTATGTGGCGGATTACAAAATAAACAATTTCTGTCAAGCATCAAGCAACTTCAGTGCAATTACCAAATTCAAAATTCATTTATATATAACAAGAAAAGATCTAGAATTACTTGTCCAATTCCAGCAAAAAGCTCTCTCAGTTCTTCAATGGTCACATCAGGTGGCAAATTAGATATGTATATTCTTGAGTTATCGCAAGTATCATCACAATTATCATCACACTGCTTAATTTTAGCCGGGGCATCATCAGGAGCAGCCCCGTAACCACTACCTCCAGGATATCGTGAACCACCACCACGACCACCAGGTTGACCACCTCGTCCACCACTCCTCACCTCACCCGTCGCATCACCACCATAACCACTAGCAGGGCCACCATAAGACGGAGGGTACGATGTGGGTCCACCAGTATAGCTTGTTGGTGGAGGAACTGCTTCCATTCCATAATTAGCATTTGCACTGTACGAGTTAGGAGCAGGTGGATAATTACCTCCACCACCACCATAAGAAGGAAGAGATGGTGGTGGCGCCTGATTATATCCACTATCACCTCTTCCTTGATTACCACCATAAGATCCACCTCTATTGCCACCTCCTCTGCTTCCATCATTATAATTGCTACTTCTATTACCGTCATAACTACCACCACCTCTCCCCCCTCGATTACCACCATATCCTCCACCACTTCCTCCTCTATTTCCGCCACCACGATCATTTTGGCCAGCAGAAGGAGAAGGAGTGCCGCATTTATTACACTCGGATCTTCTTGCAAAGTTCAAATTCCCACAGCTACATGCACATATACACCAGTTTCCATTATAAAAACTCAAACGTACTATAACACAACAATTGTATAACCCAATCCTAATAAATCTTCAATAACAAATTATAAAAAAAGCGTTAAGACCTAACTAAATCACAGAACATAGAGATTACCTTGGATCAGGGCAAGGCCAGTCACCGTCCCTGCCGCTTCCACCTCGGCCACCACCTCTTCCGCCGCCGCCTCCTCTGCCTCCACGATCTCCTCCTTGGTATCCATCTCCTACAGATCAGACCCCATAACAGTTAAATACTCAAAATCAGACAGAGATCTCAAAAACCTAACAGTAACCAATTCAAACTAGTAAAAACAAATTAATTAACTAATTACCTCGACTTTGCGAATTACCACCATATCCCCCACCTCTGCCGCCAACGCTCCCACCGCCACCTCGACCACCATATCCACCGCGGCCACCTCCGCCATAGCCTCCATATCCACCTGCACCAGCTCCGGGGCCGCCTCCACCGTATCCACCACCACCGCCGTAAGATGGAGGACCAGAATCGCCTTCTTGACCATACATACCAGACATTATCTGGTTTCTGTCTAGCCTTTTTTCTCTTTTCTAATTTTTTCGGTTCTTGCTTTGTTTTCTCACCGAAAAGCGGTGTAGCCAGATAAAGATTAGGGTAATGGTATTATCTGTTGTGTTTTTGCGACTGTAACTTGATTGTATAGGGTCAGAATATTTGATAGGCAGATATTTTCCACCTCTTCGTACTATGGAATTACCTTATTTTCATTTTAACCCCAACACAACTAGATCTACCAATTTAGTACCCAATTTTTAACTCTCCACAACTTTCTAAAGTGAAACGTCGGATTGTATTAGAAAGAGAGTTGTTTACTGCATGAAATATTAATAAAAATGAATGGAAATAATCAGTTTAATATCTAATACTTTGACATCCAATTGAAACAGTTTTGTTTAGGAATTTTATTGAGAAATAGTGGATACGCTGGGGACTAATTTAACGTTTTCCTTTTTTATTCACCGACTGGAAGATGTACAAGTGGCAACTGCTGGTTCGAGTGGTTTAATTTAATTTAACTGGTTCGAAAAACGTTACCGCGTTTATTCAAGCTTAAAATGTTTTTTTTATAAATATATTAAAATAATATTTTTTTAATTTTTAAAATTTATTTTTTATTTACACGTTAAAAAAATTTAAATAAAAAAATATAATTACATTGCCAAACACCGTCAAAATCTTGGGCTCAATAAATAGATGCTAGATGCGTAGTTTGGCCGATTAATTATATTTGATGGATTAAATAAGATTTAATTTAAGAATTTATTTATTTATTGTGTATTAAAAGAGAAAAAAATATTATATTATTTAAATTAAATTTTTATATTTTTAGATTAGTTTAACATATTGATATCAAAAATAAGTTTTTTAAAAATATATTATTTTAATATATTTTTAACTAAAAAAATTTAAAAAATAATTATGTTATCACAGTATCGAATATTTTTTAAATTTAAATTTTTTAAAGTTTTATATTTTATTCTATTAATCATGGTAATCTCAAATTTCTTTTTTCATGTACTAGGAGAAATCATTTTGAATATATAGTAACAGTATAAAATCTTAAAATGTATCCAGCAAAAGAAGTTTTAACCGTATTTTAATCCTAACTTGAAACTGCATTTCTGAATCTTGCCTTGTGCAGCTGTCCGCACAAGAGAAGGATTACCCAAATGACAAATCTACAAGACCTTTTTGACAATGTTTGATTTTTTTTCACTATTACTTATAATGAGAGATTTGCATGCCCAGTAATTCTCAGAGGTCAGTAAAAAATTTAAAAAATTAATGAAAAAAATTAAATGATAAAAACATTAATTAAAATTTAAAAAAATCAACAAATTCAATTTAATTTTAAATCTATAAGTCTGAAATTTAAAAAACTTAACTAAACCTAAACTAAATCAAACTAAAAAAATCGAGTTAAATAAGTTTGAATAAATTTTTATTTTAAAAAATTAAATTAAAACTAGTCAATTTCATCCCTTTTCAATTTTTTTTTTTTAAAAAAATTTAATTTAATAATTTTTTTTTATAAAAACTAAATCAAATAAAAAATAATCATTTCTAATAATTCCAGATACGAAATACCAGTTCCCGAATGCATGCGGTTGCAAAGTTCTTTATTTTATTTTATTTTATTATTTTGAAAATATATTTTTACATTAATTTGCATGTCAAATAATATTTTCAAAATTTTAAAAATGCATCTCTCACGCCAACTTCAACTTGATATATCTAAAAAAATAAGTTCTTTAAATGTTAACACCAAAGCGAGAATTAAAAAATAAATAAAAATTAGCAAATCTCTTTAATTTTGAAGGATTATAACACTAGAATGATGCCTAGATGTATGATTATTAGACAAAGAATAAAATAAATGAAATATGAGATGATAATGAACTTTAATAACCTCACCGTTACCTTAGAACAATCTCAAAAACAAATTCAGGCTTTTTAATTTTGCCTTGGGTTCCACCATTGGTAAAGGCTTAGAAGCAAATTGCAGATCTCAGCTTCTATTTTTTTGCCCACGAGGAAAATCCAACCTGAACCTCTACCTTCGGGCGATCCACACCTTCCCCACTCGCTAGACATTTCCGAAAGCAATCAACTAGTGGTATTTATTGGGATGCTGTGAATGAAAAACCTTTTCATTTCAACAACAACCGCAAAATCTTGACAGGAACAACCGATGTCATTTTCCGACTACTGTGCTTTAACAGTGTAAAGATTCTTGCAGTGCACATTAAACCCCCTACAACAACTATCATGCACTGCATAAACCTGAGGCAAATCAAAAGGGTGCAACAAATCTCAGATATCCCTCCGTCACAAGAAATCGTGTAAAATTGTGTTTATGGTTAGCAAGATCATCCATTGGAGGAGACAGGCCCCATACAGAGACTCCGAATGTGAAGTGCGAAGTTCAACAGGAAACCTACAGGTACCTACTGATGGATCAACTGTTGTAATCAAACCCAAACCCCCAAAATCACAACTATCTGCCCTTTGATCATGCAGCTGGTAATAGTTATTGAAGGCATATGAAATATTTGCGGGCCAGCTGATATTGAAACAGGATCCACCAGGAGAAAGTGCGGTGCAATCTGCAGTTGAACATGCATCCAAGGCGCTTGCAGTTGCATTAGACAGGTCCTTGTTATTGTTAACAACACACCACTTGGAAGAAAGATATTCAACATACTGTGCGTTTACTAGATTCTTCGAACCCTGGCCAAAATCAACATTGTATTTGGCTTGGCCATCGAAGGTGAAAACTCCCCAATGTCTCTCAAAATTTCCATTAACTATGCTTCTCTGGTCCTCGTCTAGCAAACTAAATACGTATGTCTCTATAGGTGGATTCCGAGGCCTAAGAGGGGTACCTGATTTGCTATGAAGGTGATCCATTAGACCTTTCATAAATGTCGCAGCAGCGGATGGGGTGGCATTGGCTGCTCCATCCGTAGGCCAACCAATCTTTGCAACAACAACATCCATTTCAGGAAACCCAGCTGTTGATAACGCAGTAACCAGGGTATCATAGCCCAGGTCAAAGCTGTTCTTGTATGTTCTATGGCCATCATTACGAGAGTGCTTGGTTTCTTTGAAGAGACTAAAGTCAAGAGAAATGTTCTTGTTTCGGTGGGAGATGATAAATGGGGAGATGGTAGCAAAAAATGGTGAGTGGTGCTTAGTGAGAAACGTTAGGAGTTCAGTCATGGTTTTATTGAGGTCAGGCCTGAAGTGTCCTTTGGAGGGCAAGCTGGATTCTGATTGAAAGGTATCATAACTACATGGAACCACAACCTTGACCTGGTTTGCCAAGCTCGCTCTGGCCAAAGCTGTCTGGATGTTCATGGCTGCCCCAATAACAAAGGGATGGTACTGCTCACCGTAACTTTGTTGGAATGGCTCATCTCCAACAGCAACATACCTGCAAAATAGTTTGATTAGAAGCACAATGAAATGAAGCAACACTGATATCTAATGCAGCTTTTGATAAGGATATTTTAGGAGGAAAGGTAGGCTACATATTTCCATGGTGCTTTAAAAACGCTGGTACACAATTAAGTCTCTCAAAACAACTACTTGCACTACCAAGAAAGCCAGCAAAACAGAGATGGGGATTTTTTGAGGCATTTTCAATCATACCACTATGAAGCTGGGTATTATTTTTTCTGCATTTGATCACACACGGGTCATGACAGGTACTAAAAAACCAGGTCCTATGCAAATTTGCATTCAAAATCAACAAATATTTTCATATTTTTACATGTGCAAAGATAATTTGAAATGTAGATCTGTTGCTTAATCTTGAACTGAGAAAAGCAGCAACAATTATTTATGTGTGATGCAAGTGTGCATTACAGGAGGAGTAGATGCACCCAAAAGGATAAACGAGCTGGAACAAGATCATTCAAGCTATCAGATTCTTCGGTAAAACCCCAGATTATACTTTGACAAAGAGCAACATGAAATATAGCCGGCAACATTTTCTAAAGCACCAACAATTCAGTGAACATTCTCTATTTACTGGACTCGACATCAACAAGGACGACTGCAGAAATGCACCAACAATTCAGTGAACATTCTCTATTTACTGTACTCAACATCAACAAGGACGACTGCAGAACACAACAAGCTGGTCAGCCCTAAAACAACACTTCGCTAACTCTATTGAGCCTCGATTTCAAAGTAGTCCAGTTCACCTAAATTCAATACTTCTCCACCTTTTTCATTTCTGCGCCGAACTATGAGTGAACTATTGCAAAATCCAATTTACACATTCCACTCAATCAACAAATCCAAACCTATACATAACCATAAATCCCAACATAAATAACAGACCTTAAGTGTGAAAAATAAAATCTAAATAAACAGGCAAGCCACAAATATGATACAAATGGCCACGTACGCATTGCCATTACCAAACACGATACTTGAAAACTAAAACCAGCCCAGAAATTCAAGACCGTTAACTAATCAAACCAAGAAACTAAACAGCAACCAAAACAACTTGTAAAGAAACATACTCAATTCGAACTCCACTGTTACCACTAGAAACATAGCGGGTAACATTATCGTGAACCCAGCTTTCAGCAACTTTCTTGGAAGAATTCAAGCTTTTAAGCATGGAATTGGGAATGCCAACAGTTACACCAATGTATGCCGACAGTTACACCAATGTTAGACCCAGAAAGAGCTTGTAACACAAGTGGGTCAGCATCAAATAACTTGACTTTGGTAATTTTGTTAGACTTCAAGAGCTCCACCACTTTGTCTGGTGGTAGTGGATGCGAAGAGGTAGTGCCCCAGTTCACACCAATGGCTTGAACAGTGATGTTACTGGCGGTTAAGAAGAGGAGAAAGAAAGAGAGATTGAGAAGCATCCTCGTTTGGTATGGGTGGGAGTGGAATGTGGAGTCAGGGAGGGGTTAAAAGAAGGGTTTGTGGGGTTTGAAGCAGTTGATGGATCCAACTGTGAACGCATAAATGAGTTTGGTCGGGATTTTTGTTTGTTCAAATTGTATGACCATCGCAGACTGCAGTGCAGAGTTGTCATTTTAGCAATTTGTTTGATTTTTTGTTTGTTTGGAAAAGAAAATGACCAATTAATCGAGTTTATAACTAACTCTTTATTTTATTTTTGTTTTTTTAATGTTTTTTTAATTAATCATGTTAATTAATTAGCATTTATTACATTCGATGTTTTCTTAAGAATAGATTCATCACTGTGTCTACATCAATGAACTCATGTTTATTGAATATGAAAAGGATAATAAGTTAATCAACTTAATTACATTGATTAAGATTTATAATAAATCAAACCCGTAAATATTTATTGAAAAAATGTTTTAGTAGGGTAAGCTAGTAATTTCGATTAATTTTTGAATGCCTCTTTCTCCCTCCTTCAATTTTCAAATCCATGACAGGAAAAAAAAAAAAACACTACTGTTCTATCTTTTTGTTGGACCAGTTGCTTTGATTGATGGGAACTCTTCCCTCCAGACATTCTGGGATTGAACTTCGTACTTCTTCTATTATTAAAATTATAATTATAATTATAATTGTGTGTGTATTGTTTTTTTTTCACTTCTTGAAGAGGGAGATAATGCTGTTTTTTTCAAATTGGTTGTGAACTTGATAAGGGGAATCATCTATCCAGATAAAAATTAAAAGTAAAATGGAATTGTCTATGAGATGATCAATAGTATATAAAATATTGATAAACCTTTATATGTACAATTACAAGCTACCTTGATCATTTATAACACGTGTTAGGGATTGTATTTTAAAAGTATTTTTAAAAAAAAATTATTTTTTATTTTAAATTAATATATTTTTAATACTTTTAAATTATTTTGATGTATTAATTTTAAAAATATTTTTTAAAAAATAAAAAAATATTACTCATATATTTTTTTAGTGGAAAATATTTGAAAAAATAAACATAATTACATTACAAAACACACATTAAAAGGATTGTGTTTAAATAATTTCTTCAAAAAACAACTCAAACAATCAACAACTACATAATACAGTGGGTGCCATTAGCATGAACAAGAATCATGGTTTTTTTAGAAAAAAATTAGATTTATAATTTAGATTTTTTTTATTTTTTTATCAATGTTATTAAGGGTCTGTTTAGCATCATCTAACTATGTTTTCTAAAGTTTTTTAGTTGTAAGTTATTATTTTTTTATAATTTTTGTTATGTTAATATTAAAAATAATTTTTAAAAATAAAAAATAATATATTTTTAAATAAAAAATATTTTTTAAAAAAATATTTTTTTATCACATGTTAAGTTATTGAGATGGTAGCGTCACTGGATCCCGTGATTTTTTGCCCTAATTAATCATTTATCTATTGATAATTTGAAACCAAAACATAAATTGAATTTGATTTACAATAACAACATAATTGATAACTAATTATTCTTACATCCTGAATAGAATATTAAATTATATAATTAAATTCAACTATACTATTTAAAATATTTATGAAAATAAATTGAATTAACAATATGACTATTTTTCTTTTAATTTAAATATTATTTTTGTTACACAAATAATTTTTATTATAACTACCTTTATATTTATTTAAAATAGCATAAAATATAAATATTTTAAAAAAATATATAAACAGGCCTATCTCTATGTAAATTATTTATTAAATATCTTTTTAAAAAGTCGGAAAATATATATTTTATTTGTCCCCGATATAAAAATAAATATATAAATAGAATTGCCGCATACACGTTCACTGGTCATTTCTTTTGTCTAATTTAAGCTCATCGTGGCCTACCAATATAATATGGGAAATGGAGCATCACAATCTTCTCTTCTTACACGTGCAATTCCTGTCATTCAAGTATAACATTTTTCATGTATTTTTTAAATAAATACATATTAAAAACTAATTTTTTATGTAAAAAAACTCACACCCTTGTTTTTAGGTGATCGTAAAACATACACAAGTGGAGGGCTTGTTCTCCTGTTTAAAAATATTCACTCGCCCGTTTATTTTCAAAACAAAGAGAAAAAAATAAAATTAGGCACACAAGCCTACATATTTTTTTGCTTTTAGGCTATAGGCATGGGATAACCTTCGAGACACCTTGCCTATTTTCTTTTAAGAAATTTCTGGCCCGTCATCTTTTTTTTTCTCTTCTAAATAATTGTTTTTTTAAAAAAAAAACTTCAAAAAAAATTATTAAGGTGATATTTATAAAAATACCTGGCTACGCTATAATTTTGAAATAAGATTAATTTTTTATGGTAATATTAGCAATTATTGCAAGAATAACTATACAGGACAATGACATGTTGACTTTTTTAAGAAAAGATTCAGGATTATTCAGTGAGAATAAAATAAATATTTTTCTATTGCTTATATATTCTTCTCAGATTAGTTATTCTTTTGTTTTTTTTTCCATCAAATAGCTTAAAATATCAAAGCATGATTTCTTTTTTATTTTTTATATTAAAACTATGATAAATTTTTATTTTAAAAAACATGCTTGTGATTTAAAATATCAAAGCATGATTTCTTTTTTATTTTTTATATTAAAACTATGATAAATTTTTATTTTAAAAAGCATGTTTGTGATTTAAAACAAATATTTTTATTAAAAAATTACATGGATAAAAAAATAAATTTTGACAAGTTTTTTTTTTTTGCGTGAGAATATACATGGTTTGAATTGTTATGAGTATTTATTTAAATTGCAGTAAAAACAAATACAAATAATTTTCAAACGTGATCTCGCAATATCAAAAAAAAAAACTAATAAGACACTATACAAGTTGATACAAGTAAAATTTTAATTTAATGTAATGAAAAGAAATCTTCATCTAAATAGAAAAATTAAAAATAAAAATGGATAATTAAAAATTTATTTGTTTTTACTTTAAAAGTATTTTTAAAAAATTATTTTTCATGTGATTTTAAATTGTTTTGAAGTTAAAATATTAAAAAATATAAAATATTTTAAAAATATTTCCAAATAAACAGAAATTTGAAAAAATAAATATTATAAGAGAATACCTATCGCTAGTATGAAAGATTGACGTCAACATGCATACCGGGCAGGTACCATATAATATAACAATGCATGTTAAACCAATGCAAGTCGTTATAAACTCAGGCAGAATAAAATCCAGAGGGACAAGCTAACAAAACATCGACGCGCATGCGATGCATAGCTGCTTCAAGCTGATCGCAGTTCATGAAATATCTTCTTGCTCATTAATTAGAGCATCATCACTATGGATTAATCTTGAGATACGGAGAGGTCTGGGGGTAATTTAACTAATTAAATCTTAAATTTTCTCTCTAATAATCATAAATTTGATTTTTCTTAAAACCACTTAAGATTTACAACATGGTAATTAATTAGGACATCAAAATTATTCTAAAAAAAATCTTGCGACACGGAGGAGAGCAGGAGAAGAAGGTCGCAGGAGAAGGTCGCTAATTAGAGTGATCCACTCTGGGCTAGGGTTTAAATATTTGCGTTGAGGCCCAGTATCAAGGGCCTCACAGTTCAGCTTCTTTTTTTGTATTCTTTTACCACGAAACAGGGCAAACTTTTGGCATGGAACAAGAACATTTCAATCTAAAGTCATTCTGCTAACGTACACTGACATAAGCCACTTCTTGCAGCCCACGATTAAACCTCGTGACTGGCCTCTTTTCGTCTTCTTCAAAACCCCAGCTGAACCCCAACACCGTTCATGCAATGGCGGCTAAAACCCCTGATCCATCCTAACCTCCACGCCATATAAATTTAGTAATTATTTCCTAGCCTTTAAATTTGTTCGGCTTTGGGGGGTTCTTGTTTGTATGCTTTTTATCAATGGCTAGCAATGATAATCCAGGAAGTGAATCTAATATTAATGGTGGTGATGCTGCTGCTTCTTCTTCGACCTCGAAAGTTGGAGAAACACCCACTCAGATTCAGCCTTTTAGAATGCCTTCAATAGAAGAGGTTCGTGCCCAGGAAGTTTGGAATAACTGTGCTGTTCGCAGTGTGGCTAGTGGAGTCATGGGTGAGGATTGATTGATTAATTTACCTTCCCTTTTGGTTTTCAACTCATTGCAATTAATGTTTTTGTTTTTTAACGTGCTTTCAATAATAAGCTCTTATGTTGTTATAGTGGTAATAGGTGGATTGAATTTTCAATAATTCTAGCCTCTAAGAGTGAGAAATTTTAAATTTCTAGGGTGGGTTTATGATTGGTTTTGCGAGGATTTTGGTTTTAAGTGAAATGATAGATGCGTTCGGAAATTTTTTTTTGTAGGAGGTGGTTTGGGGTTGTTCATGGGACTGTTTCTAGGTGCCTTGGATAATCCTATTATGCAAGATGAGATGACAGGAAGGCAGCAATTTATTTACACTGCAAAACAAATGGGGCGGAGGAGTTGGAGTTCTTGTAAAGCGTTTGCAATTATGGGCTTGGTTTTCTCAGCTGCCGAGTGTGTTGCCGAGAAGGTAATATGCTAAGGAGAATGCACTAATAAAAACCATGATTTTTATGTATCTTCGAAGTTTCAAAATTTCGTTATAGCCGATAGGAGCTTAATTTGGGTTGGTTGTTTCTAGGCACGAGCAAAACATGACACCACAAATACTGTAGTTGCTGGGTGTGTCACTGGAGGTGCCATGTCAGCAAAAGGTATGTTTTTTTTGGCCCATGTTCAATACTTTTCTTGTTAATTGCTTTCAGTTTGAGATTAAGTAGCCAAGGTATGGGTTTCATTTACACAACTCAGCACTCACTTGTATTGGAGCTTTTAAATCTGTGAGTTCATGGTTCGTGATACCATCCGATCAATTCACTTCCCCTGCACAGCTTCATAAACGATGTTCATTGAATCAAAACGGTGCTAGTTTTTTGAATCCATGTGCTGTATCATACCTTGCAATTTCTGTATGCAAAACAACTCAAATATTGGATGTTTCATCAAGCGTAAAGTTAAATTTCTGATGTTGTGAACCCATGGTATTTGCTCTGTGTTTTGCATAGTCTCGTGGTCCAGATGATAAAATTACATGTCAGATTAAATTTTGATGAAATTAACCTGCATGGTTTGGGCATGGTATGCAAATAGTCTATTTTACTTAAGAATTTCTGACTATATTTTCCGATAGCATCTTGTTAGTGGAACTAAATGACTTTGACTGTCCACTTTGTTTATTGAGATGGAAAGGAAAGGGAGTGGATAGGTTTAGACTGTAGGCGGAAGAGGCGCTCATCTTGTTTGGTAAGATAGTTGTATACTCAAGAAAGGAATGGAAGAATTCATTCCTTCAGTTCTTTCAATCCTTCCAAATTGGAAAATACGGAAGAAGAGGCATGAATGGAATGAAAGTTTTCCGATTTTACCTCATCTGAATCCTTTTTGTTTACCTCCTTCCCCCATTTAAACAAACTAGAATGATGGATAGTTTCCGTCCCGCAACCTTTCCACTTTCTTCTTTATGCACTTTATCATCCTTATATTCCATCCTCTTGAATGACCAATGTTAATATGGTGATGCAAGGACATAACCTCACCGTTCTTTTTTTTTTTTTGTTATGTGGCTAATGAAAGGAGCAGTTTCACTTTTGGCTGTTCCTGCTAGGACCTGTGCTCTTTTTTATTAATTGATTTCACTCCTGTTAAACAGCTATTTTCCTGTAGTTTCAATTAATTACCCCTACAAGCTCAGGATAGTTTTGGTCTTTCAAAACCTGTAAGAGTGTGAATAAACCTAGCGGCTATCCAATTTTAATTTTCTCTTTGACTATTATCATTATCATTTTGGTTTATTTTGAGTCCTGTTCATTAATCAACTTGATCTCAGCAGTGTGACCTGTATCCTGATTGCAGGGGTGAATATACCCTATAGAGAAGCGGGACAATTGCCCCCTTTATTTTTTTAACTTTCTATTTGGTCCTTATATTTTTTGATCTTTTCACACAAGTCCAAATAAAAATGATCAATTGTCCCTCATAATTTTTTTTCTTGTTGATGAAAAAAATTACCCCGCTTAACAATTATTTAGGGTTTCTCAACCGACTGAATATCTTTAAGGAACATATTTTAGGTTCAGATTTACTGGTTAGAACCTTTCAAATCATTTAGCTTTTTCATTCTCTTCAAATATTTTATGATATCTAGTGCCAATTCCTTTTGGTATTTTCTAGATGGATTTGGATTTTCAACACAGGAAGGCTTATCCATTTTGGCTTTGGATGATTAAGGGTTGGATTTCGAACTATGCCATCCGTAAATAATGTTATGGCATGGATGTTTAAGGGTTGGAAGTTTTCCGCCCATAAATTTAGAGTTCTATTAGCATTGATGATGACGTGTGGTCATGTTGAACTGTGCTTCGTGGAATTATCTATCTGGCGCCGACCATTGTTTGTCTGTGTCTCCGTCTACTGCAGCACTTGAAATTTGATGTTGAATTATTTAGGGAAAAACTCGAGTTTGGTTTTTCAAGCTGCTAATTTTGCAACCATCTCTAAAATTCTATGGCAATGGCTGTTGGCTTTAACTTATCCACTTCTACTCTAACATCCATGCGTCAATATGCAATCTCTTTCTTGCGTGTTTTTGGTTGGATTACCATCATTCATTATCTTACCTGTTTGCATTTTGTTTTGCTCCCACTCTGCTACCCCTTTCCAGGTTATCTTACACTCCTGTCTTTTTTTAGGTGGTCCTAAAGCAGCATGCTTTGGTTGCGCTGGGTTTGCTGCATTCTCAGTTTTGATAGAGAAATTCCTAGACAGACATACTTGAGTGGATGACACGACTAAAAGATTGATGTCTTCTCTCAAGTGCAGGAGTGTCGAAGTAATAAATAACCCGGCAAGACCGGGGTCGAACCACAGGGAGGTTATTTGTACAAATTATAAATAACAATAATACAACAACAATAACATTTGTCGAAGTAATAAATAACCCGGCAAGACCGGGGTCGAACCACAGGGAGGTTAATTGTACAAATTATAAACAACAATTATAAAACAACAATAACAACAACAACAATAATAATAATAGTAATAGTAATAGTAATAGTAATACTAATAATACTAATAATAATAATAATAATAATAATAATAATAATAATAATAGTAGTAGTAGTAGTAGTAGTAGTAATAAAGAAAGAGAAGAAGAAGAAGATGATGGGAACTTGGAGATGGAAAATTAATGTAAGGATTAAACAATAATAATAACAAATGTCAAGGTTAGAGGTTCCACTAATGGTATATCAAACAAGTATAGTATAAACTCTTATTATTGAATTGGAAACCACACACAAAGGAGGTTCCAATCAGATTATATATTGTTAACATAATTACATTAGTCATCTTATTCAATTAATGCTAATACTTGTAAATCTCGTCAAGCATTCATGATTATAACTTATGTTAACAACAAATCAAGTTCCTTTCATAGCTCAGGTGTCGGTTATACCATACATTATGGGCTATGAAAGTGCCAAGCATTTGTTGTACCAAGTGTTATACAACATAAATCAAGATTAGTCATTTAACAAGCAAAGTATTAAAGAGTGAACAAGATAACAAATATAAAACATGTTAGTATCAAACATTAAAGTCCATATTAAGTTTACATTATACTTATTCTTACACCATTAGTGTAACCTTTTCACCTTGACATAATTAACTTAGCTAGACATAATGAAAGAAAGCAAAATAGATAAACAAAATAAGAACATAAAAGTTAACTAAGTAAAGGAAAGGAAATGAAAGGCATAAACTTAATATTAATGAAAGCAAAGCATAAACATTACAAAAAATACAAAGAGAGAAAGGAAGAGCATGATCTTGATCTGGAAACCAAGATGCCTAAATGCATGGCAAATGCCTCCTTTTATAGGCCAAAATTGGGAACTATTGATTTGATGACTAATTGATAAGTGGGTGGCCAACTTTTGACTTGATGACAATCCTTATCTTCTCTTGTCTGCCCAAAACGTCATTGATAACGTCACAACTGGAGCCAGTTGCAAACATGAAAGTTGTAGGTAATTGTCTCAGCTTTCTTGTGTAAACAATTCAGCTCATTTGGACTTCTAGAACTCCAGATATGGCCAAAATACCGAACAGTGCTCGGGCTGGAAGACAGATTCGGGCTTCTTTGTTGTTGCTACAATTTGGACTTGATAATGGCCTTTTTAGATCTTGGGCTCCATATGAAAGTTATAGGCCTATGTCTTACCTTTCCATCCATATAAATTGGACCTAAATCTGAGATATATAGCTCTAGATATGACCCAATTACCGAATAGTGTTCCGGTTTGGATTGCACCGACATCTCTTTTCTAAGTTTGGCCATCTCTTTATCCTTGCAATTTAAGTTCTTCAAGTCATCAATCAATCCTTTCATTTATGTGATAGACCTGCATTAAAAATAGACATTTACCACAAATTATAGGTATCTTATATTATTAGATACATTATTATAAAACATATTTTAGTTAAGGAGTTATTGATACTTCAAGTGCAAAATGATGATATAAAACCATGATAAAAATGCACTTTTAAGTACTAATCAGTGGACAAGTACCCGGATCCAGTTTTGCAGGCTGGCTTTGGATTGGTGACCTAGCAGTCTATCTGCTAGCAGAGAAATTATTTCTTTTTTATACACATTCATTTTTTATTCGAATTAAATTTCTGCCCTCAACGAAGGAGAATGACCATAATATACGAGCAAGTTTCGTGTAGTCTTGTGCGATTTCGTTTTCGATTTAACTGATTCATCACCCTGAGAATATCCGGTGTGGATTGTATTACAACGAGGGTTGCTAGCGGCAGCCGCTAGCAGTACTCTGTGCATCTGCCACGGTTCTCAAGATGTGACAAAAACTTCCAGGCTGCTGGTTACCCAAATTTCTAACCAAAAAATAAACTTTATTAACAGTATACAGTCAAGTTGCAGATTAGGAAAAACGAGAAATGATTCAGAATTAAGAAAGCAACATGCAGTAATCAAAGTCACCAAATATCAAAAATCGATCCCAGCTTAAAGATGCTTGTAAAAAATCATCAGAACCGGCAAGTGATAACTCTAAGATTTTTGTTCTTGTATAAAGGGCATTCAATCTCAAACTTAAACTGTTTCCTTAATTCAAGTAAAATATATTCTAAAAGAAAACAAAGAATTCTCCGAAAGGATACATTGAATTCAATCCGAGGTACAGATCTCTCCTGGCGAGGTTTAAAAAATAAAAAAATCGAAGAAAATATATACAAGGAATTCAAAATTAATGTTTGTATGACCTTCAAGAAACATAAGAAAAATCAACTGTTTTCTCTAATTTCAAGGTTTAAAATCTTGTTATGAGCAAGGATTATAAGAGATTGAGTTAAAAAAATATAAAGGGTAACAGTATAACAGGGACAAAAAGACTTGTTTCCTGTCTAATATACCGCCGCTATCTTCAACCAAGAATACAGTTTCGTATTTGTATTTTATGTACTGGATGCTGAACAAACACAAACGGACGGACAGAGAGAACTAGCACGAAACATGGAGAAATGTATTTTAATGGTAGCTGCTGGCCAAGCTCCAAACCCTCCTTATTTCTTGACCCAGCTTCTCGGTTTTTTGAAAGGCCTGTACCAGGAAAGATGAGCGCCGAAGAACGTTTGAGACACTTGGCTGCTCGCATTGCTTCTTTCGGATTCCGTGGTGAGGCTTTAAGTGAAAATCATTGATCAAACAAAAATCTTTTGTTGGTTTCTTGATTTTGATGTGCTTGGTCTTGAGGGTCTTAGTTGCCAGTAATTTGATGTATACTGCTTCTTCTTGTTTTATTTATATATTTATTTTTGGTGTGTATTTGCAGGAGGTTTGCTAGGATTAGTCTCTTCTCCGCTTCGGATTCTACTTGAAACAACGGTCACTCGTCTTAAAAATGTACATACGAGAATGTTGGGGTCGTTGCGAAACATTTGCAGCTAGCGGCATGCCTTTCTAAGCCACTGGGTGCATTGTTTGGAATGTACATACGATAATGTTTTGATGATTTTTTCATGATTTGATTTAAATTTTGTAACCTTTTCTATGCTAAGAACTTGATTTTGGTATTGTATTGGTCTCTGTTCCACAGTGCATCAATAGTATTTGTTTTAAATATCAACAAAATATTAATAACGTGAAGTAGGTCAGACTATCATGTAACACGATATGCATTGTACAATATAAAAAAAAAAAAAAATTATATATTTATGTAAATAGTATATTATCAGATTTAGTCACCAGAGATTTTTTATACACTTTTTTAATGACACGAGTGTCATTTATTTATTGGGATGTATGAAACATATGCTAACAATTTTTTATTACATGTTTCAGTAATTTTTTAAATAAAAAATAAAAAATAATATTAAAATGCTAAAATATTCTTTATAATTCTTTTAATTACACGTCATACGCATGTAAATTTTATTAAGCTACAATGAAAACCCAAAGCCATTTAGTCTTTTTTTATAATTTTGTTGTAAGGTAAGGCGGAAAACATGACACCTGAGCTACGGCTTCCACTGCTTGTGTAACTGGAGTTTCAAGGTTGCCAAGAGGTGGCCTACAACCCATGTCAAACACTATCAATTTCTCTATCTCGTTTTGGACTTTGATTCTGCTTCAATCTAGTTTATCATTTTTCTAGCATGCATTGGTGGTTAGAAGGCGAGTCGTATTAAGATTTGCTATTTCATTTTGATGAAAAACATGCATCACAGAGGCAGTTTTGGGAAAACTCCTTGTGGGTTATGTATGTTGAGGCGTCATGTTATGGCTTTAAATTATGGCATTATATGTGCTGTTGCTCGTTCCGCCACAGGACATTTGACTCTTGATTTTGAATCAATTTTTAGATGAAGTGGGTTATCGAGTTTATTTATGAGGTGATAATGCACTTAGAAAAATAATCAGATAGGGAATCGACTTACATGGTGCCCGCATTTACTTGTCTCGGAGCTTCTAAATCTATCAAGTCCAGTCGAGGTTATAGAGATAGAGCTAGATTTCCTAATGCAAGCGTGTTTGTTTTTGATAAATTTAGAAAAATTATTTTTAATTGTAATTATTTAGATTAAAATATATGTTTAGTTAAAATTATTATTGAAATTGTTGTTAAATAAAAGGCATGTTTATTTTGTTAAAATTATATTTGCATTTGATGTTTATTTAAAAAAAAAGGATCAAAATAAATATATAATTAATTTATTTACGGCTAATGGAGAGTGCTTGAAATGAGGGTATCTATTGGCTGGAGGAGAGTGCTCGAAATGAGGGTAGAATGGTCAATTGCTGTAAACTGTATTCTTTAGCAAAAGCGAAAAACCCTCCCGTTTCTGTCATTTTTCTTCCTGTAAAAAGTAAAATCTACCGTATTCATTTCTTATGGTTAAAATAAAAAATACTATAATTTCTTCTTTCTTGCTTGTCCATCTTCTTAACTTTGCTTCTCCTTCTACTCTATTTCAAGCAACAAATTCATCAAATCCTTTTCACAGCTATAATTTAATTTCAATTCAGCCCCTTTTTAAAAAAATATATATATTATGAATTTGAAAAATATATATTCAAACAAACTTTCCATACAAATGAATATGTTAACATGAAAGTGATAAAATATAGGTTCCATTAATTTTAAATAATTAGGTTCTTATGAAAAAAAAAATATCACAAATTTGTAGTTTTTTAGTAGATTTCAGTGTTAGCAATTTTCAGTGTGAGTTTGTTAGTTCAATAAACATGCAAATGTTTCATAAGCAGCATAATTAAAAGACATAGAAATGTATACTAATTCAATTTAAAATTACCATGCATAAAATTATCATGGTCGATTATAGCATCATGGTTGATTTAAGATCGATAATGGGTATTCTTTTATCAATAATTAACATACTTCACGTCAAGTAATTAAACACTAAAATATACATGGAATATAGACGTACCCTTTGAAGAATTATATATTATCAAAGAAGTTGAATTATATTCTTGTTTTGGATTCAACCGCTTGCCCTTGTAGGCTGAATTGTCCATCACCTGGTACAAAATGGTCTTGATGTTGATGATTGTAGAATCTTATAATTTAAAAAATTGCAACGTCAACAAGCTTTACAAACTTTTGAAAAGATACCCGCATTCTATACGAAATACTAAACTTTACACTGTGTTAGGTTGATATTCTGGAATAAAAAATATTAAAATAGTAAAAAAAATATGTTTAGTTGAGGAGATAGGAATATAAAAATAAATGTTTTTGAAATAATTTTAAAATAAATTTATATATTTTTAAAACATGAAATACAGAGGAGATATGTTTTTAGAAATAATATTTATTATTTTTAATTTCTAAAATATCATTGTAAAAAATTTTCAATTACAAAGTTGTTTAACTAAGATATATAAATATAAAATTAATTATTATTATAATTTTAAAATCCAACCTAAAGATGAATTTAAAGCAAAGTCCAAATTACAAGTTAATTCAAATTAACCCGAGTCGATATAAAAATAAAAATAATTAATACTATAGTTTAGAAATCTAACTTAAAGTAATTCAAGACAAGGTTCAGTCACTTTTAAAAAGGATTATTTCAAAATAACCTGGGGTTAATTTGAAGAAGGCTTGGATTGTTTTGATTGTTAACATCGGTAATAAATATGTTGAAACAAGAATTGAAGATGTAAAGGGCGTTTTTAGGACTGTGCTTTAATGTTGCTGATTGTTGCATAAAGTTTTGAGGTCCAATTGAGGAGGCATTTTTGTTTCTTAGAATGAACTTTGCTTGGCTACCTTCTAGTTTGTCTGTCAAAAGGCTTGTGGTGAAAGTCAAGTTTGAAAAGATATGGCTGGTTTCGGATGTCTGGTTCAAGATATCTGGGGCTGAGCTAAACTGAGGATATGGCTGGTTTCGGATGTCTGGTTTAAGATATCTGGGGCTGAGCTAAACTGAGATTCTAAATGTTAGAATCGTACATCTTTTCATTAGTCTCGGTGCCTGTTTGTGCTTATAACCTCTTCCATTTAAGCTAGCATTTATCCGGAGACACAAATACATGTACGTATAACTACTTCGTCAATAAGCTTTGACCAACGTATAGCTCACGATCGAGGCCCTTCAGGGTATTCAATTTCCCTTTAATAAGACCAGCGGTGGCAGGCGTCTTGCGCCTTCCGCTGTCAAAGATTTGAGCTTTGGAGTTGTATATTTGTCAGCCCCGTGCTGTCTTATCTGTCTGCTGGGTTTGCAGGGTGTTCAGTAGACCATGGGGATTAGTCGTGGTGCGCGCAAGCTAGTCCGAACACCCCACGTAAAGCAAAAAAAAAAAAAAAACTAGTAGTAATTTAAAATTCTGCATTTATGATTCCCAAAATTAAGGGAGCAACAATATAGATATTTTGTCCTTATTGCAGGGTGCGCTGAGACATTCCAGAACTTTATGGGACTTGTCCATTTTAAAGATATAGCCTTAATTGGCGCATATCATGTGCGTTTGATGTCCATCTTGTCCTTATAAGCGGCGTTTTATAAATATATTTTTAAAAAATTTAAATTATTTATTTATTTTTTAAATTTAAATTAATATTTTTTTTATTTTTTAAATCATTTTAATATATTATTATAAAAAATAATTTTTAAAAAATAAAAAAATATTATTTTAATATATTTTATAATAAAAATACTTTAAAAAATAACCACTATTATATTTTCAAACACCTTGACACGTGCATATCGGAGCTATATAACTCGCTATGGTGATTTTGTGGAAAAGGTCGTCTCTGACATTTAGTTTTGCAGGGGCTAAATAATTTTATGTTTATTACTTTATAGTTATAAAACATAAAATTTTATACAATAAAACTGCAGCAAGCCATATACCATATTCTGAAATCAAATTGCTTTCCAAATGTTTTTTTTTCCCTGAAAGAAGTATCCATGAAAATAAAAATTATTGATAATTAATATTTTAATAGATTGATTTTTCACCCCTGATGTTATCTATAAAAATATTACTGATAAATTATATGTATTATATCAATAAAACTATTAATGATGTAGTTATTGTTTGATATCCCAATAATTCATCGTGGCGACTGGCGTGAACGATGTCGACAATAATATGCTTAACTCACAATTTATACGTTTTGGTGGAGGTTGGCAATGGATTAGCAGCCTGGGTTTTTCAGGGCAAAAAAGGGAGCTGAAAAGCTGATGGACTCGGGCGTAGAATTTACTCCGTTGGATCAAATCATCAAGGAAGCAGTCGACTATTTAAAGAGCAAAGGATTTGTTACTTAATAAAGAGCTCCTAAGAAGTTACCCGACAAGCTGTGAATTCCAATGACCTGCGTATAAACATCTGTAGCTCAGAAAATAAGGTTTATATACTTGGCAATAGGATTATTATTATTATTATTATATGAAATGTCTTATTTCATGGATCACATGCCAACTGCAAAGGTCTTGCTATTCATTAAATTACATATCAGATTATAAAACTATGATAATTATATAAAAAATAAATAAAAATAAATTATAAAATTTAATTTTTAATCAATTTAATAAAAAAATATAAAATTAATAAATATTGATTTAAGTAATTATATTTGTGAAACTTCACCTGACTTGATTTTGTAGATTGACTCGAGACTCAAATAATTCAAAATCTTGATTGAGTTTTAAGTAATTATTAATTAAATTTATAATTAGTTCGATAAAATTCCGACAACATATCCGATTAATACGAGCTAATCCGGATGAGAATTTTTTTTTTTTTTATCTTTTCGGTTTGATAAGGCAAGGAGAGAAGAGATGAGACTGATGGTGTTGCAGCTGTTGCTGGAGGAGAGAAACAAGGGATTGGAGAAGTGGATCGATAGATGATTGTGGTGCTGATATTGGGTGGAACAGTGGCTGTAACAGCAGTAAGGGGGGCGTGGTGGCTGTAAAAATGATGGGGACGGAGACATGGTTTTGGCAGTGGTCGTGAGAGGCCATACTGTTTGTTAGCAAAGGAGGAAAAGAGACAGCTCTGGAGGGTTTTGACAGCTTTGGAATGGGTATTGACGGATAAAGGGAAATTGGAATGGGGGCTTTTTGTTTTTGATATTTGAGATTTTTTTTTTGTTTTTAGTTATTCAAGATGAACAAAAATAAAGTCGTGAGATTGAATGATTAAAAATTAGAAAATTTTCGTGTATTTTTTTAATTAATTTATACATATTTAATTTCACATGTTTTTTATAATTTATATTAACATGATTATTTATTATTTTTTAACAAAAAATAACTATAGATAATTTATATTTACATGAATTATTTTTAAAAATTTTAATATGTGATAAATATATTTCATTCTATATGTTTTTAATAATTACATTCATTTAAATTATTTTTTAATTTTTTGATGTAGAGTAGGTATAATACACTTGAAGTTTTACATTTTTTTTTTCCAAAAATTTATATCTACATGTATTGTTTTAATTTTTTTATATAAGATATTAAAACATTAAGCATAAAAAAAATTAACTCAGATCACCCGTGTAACCTAAGGTCTAGCTTCTTAGTTGGGTTAGGTTTAATACATGGTTAAAATAACAAACTTGTAGTCGGGTCATAATAAGAAATAATCAAATAAAAAACAAATTGAAATTAATTATGAAAATTAATTTTCAACCAATTAGGTATTAAAATATAAAATTATATTAAAAAACATAAAAAAATTATCTCTAGTTAATTAAAATTAATTTATCAAACTTGCGACTCAAGTTATGAAAAGATGATAGATTTATAAAAAATAAACTAAAACAAACCATGATATTTAATTTTTAATTAACTAAATATTAAATAATAAAATTGAGGAAATTTTTTTTTGAATCAACTGAGTTAATTAATCACTTGTGATTTAGTCATGAAATTAAAATAATCTTATACAAATAAATAAATAAATAAAGTTCAATTCTCGATAAAATTAAAATTAATTTATTAATTAAAAAGATATAAAAAGTGATTTTAGTCCAACCAATTTAACATATTAAATTCATGACTCAAATTATTAAATGAGGATAATTTTATAGAAAATAAACTGAGATAAATGAATTCTAACTTTAAATAAATTTAATATTAAATAAAAAAATAAAAAAATTAACTAAAATTTTTTATGATAACCAAGTTAATTTATCAAACTTCTAGTTCATGTCATCGTGATAACAAAATATTTTAATAAAAAATAAAATGAAATAAATTATAAATTATAACTTCTAATAAATATAATTTTAAAGATTATAATTAAATTTATAAATAAAATAAAACTTCAATGAACGAGAAAGAAAATCAAAGTAAATAATGTCTTGAGAGAAGAGTTATTATAAAGGAGTGTTTTTTTTTTAAAAAAAAATGTTAATTGTTAATGTTAATATTAATGGTAATTATTAATAATCCATTATCCTTTATAAAGAAGCACATAGCTAGATACTGAAGTCTGTGAAACAAGAACACGAAGGAGAGAGAAAAACAGAAGAAATCATGTCGAAGAAAGGAGAAGTGGTGTGTGTTACCGGTGGAAGCGGTTGTATTGGCTCTTGGCTTGTCCGTCTCCTTCTCGACCGTGGGTATACCGTTCACGCCACCGCAAAAAATCTCAGTAAGTTAAAAAAACGACTTGTAGTCCGTCCAATATTGTTAGCAGTGGTCGTCCTATTGTGTTTTGCTAATTCTCTGTCCTCTGATTTGAATTGAAGAGGATGAAAAGGAGACGAAGCATCTAGAATCACTTGAAGGAGCAGACACTCGTCTCCGTCTTTACCAAATTGATCTCCTCGATTATGACTCCATTGTCGCCGCAATCAACGGCTGTGCTGGCGTCTTTCACCTGGCCTCTCCGTGCATCGTTGATGAAGTCCATGATCCTCAGGTACTAGAGTTGCAGTGATAACTTGTCGCCTTTTTTCCTTTGATTGATTTTTTATTTGTTTAGTTACACAAAATTCTGTGCATTTCCTTCTTTATTTTTCCTGAAAGAACGAGCTTTTGGATCCGGCAATTAAAGGAACAATAAATGTATTAACGGCGGCAAAGGAGAACGGCGTCAGGCGCGTCGTGGTAACGTCTTCGGTTTCTTCTATTACGCCAAGTCCTAACTGGCCTGCAGACGTCATCAAGAATGAGGATTGCTGGACGGACGTTGAGTACTGCAAGCAAAATGGAGTGAGTACTGAGTAGTGTCTTGTTCTTTTAATTTATTTCCAAATAAATTTTACTTTGTTGACTTTTGTGGATTATAATGTGATTGATTTTGTTTGTTTTGTTGTGGTGATTAGTTATGGTATCCTTTGTCAAAAACACTAGCCGAGAAAGCTGCGTGGGAGTTTTCAAAGGAGAAGGGTTTGGATATGGTGGTAGTGAATCCGGGTACAGTTATGGGTCCGGTTATTTCACCAGTGCTGAATGCTAGCATGGTGATGCTTGTGCGCCTTCTACAAGGTTATGTTGTTCACTAACTCAATCTATGACACTCTAAGCAGTCAGATCATAGAAGTATCCTGTCCATAGTTTGTAGAACAGCAGAATTAGTCATGAACTAGAATCCAACATCACTTTTATTTCTTTTGCACTAATAGGCTTATAGCTTATAGCTTATCGCTTCAACAGCACAATTAGATTTCCTTCTAATGCACCTTTTTCTCCTGCCGGATAGTAGCTGTGTCAAGGAAAAGTTTTTGAGGAAAATGCATAGAAAATTGCAAGAACCAGGAACAAAGATTAAACTTTTTGTTAGTTTTGATTGTCTGTTCATGTGCATACCCTTTTTTCAATAAGCTAACATTCATTATACTATTGCAGACATGCAAACATGTTTATGGAAGTATCTAGCTAAAAAGCCTTTAACTCAACCATTTTGCTATTATAATTTCTTGAATAAGGAAAGCACTAACAATGACTTTTTGTCCTTATTGCAGGCTGCACTGAGACATACGAGAACTTCTTTATGGGATCTGTCCATTTTAAAGATGTAGCCTTGGCGCATATTATAGTGTATGAAAACCCATCAGCAACTGGCAGACACGTGTGTGTTGAAGCTATATCTCATTATGGTGACTTTGTGGCCAAGGTTGCTGAGCTATATCCTGAATATAAGATTCCTAGGTAAAGAATTTAAGTTTGTTTTTCTGAGTGTGTACTGTGTGGTGAATATGAACAGACCTATGTACATTTTTTTTATGCCTGGTAATTTGATTATGTTGTCTGCAAAACACTATTGAAACCATGTACTATATTCTGAAATCTACTTTCCTCTTCAAAATGCTCTACCACATAATTTATCTAAACTTTGCACGTGGATGTACATGTGCGAGAAGCATTAAAGCTATCGAAGTCTTGATTGCCGTTCAAAGTGTCTCGGTAGTTGGGAGCATTAAATTTAACTAGTCTTGCTCTTTATTCTCGTACAGTGCTGTGCTTGCTGTTGCGTTGTTGATCAAACTTCCGTCCATTGCCACCCCTGCTTCATTGAGATCTTAAAACTTCTTTCTGGCTGTTTGATGGTGTGAATCATTACTGCTTGATCCTTAATGTGCCTATTCATGCAGTTTGCCGAAGGACACCCAACCTGGGTTGTTGAGGGCAAAGAATGGAGCCAAGAAGCTGATGGACTTGGGTTTAGAATTTATTCCCATGGAGGAAATTATCAAGGATGCAGTTGAAAGTTTAAAGAGCAAAGGATTCATTTCTTAAGAAAAAGCTTCAGTGATCAATCCATGGGGTAGAACTGATTAGTGTGTTTGTGCAGGAACAATCACAGCTTGCGTATGGAGGTTACCTGTAATGTTGGCAGGTCTCAGTGTTACCGTTTTAGCTATGTGGACAGTTTGAACAGGCTTATGTAT